ATTTCCAGAATAATGAGTAAAGGGAGTACTAAAAATTAAGAGATATTTTCAGACAGAAATACAATATGCTGGAAATTTATTTCTGAAGGTTAATAGGAAAATTGCATGTGGTATAGCAAATATATTCTATGCATTATGTTGCTTATTAAACAAAATACACATATTTTCAAAACTTTGGTACCACCAACCTAGTCCTACTTCCATTTATTTTTGACTTATCCAACTTCTCATTATGATGTGAATAAATAATTATATTTTCATATGTACTCCTTACATAAATAATAAGTATTGTGCTATATTTAAAAGCTTGCAATTAAATTAAAAATAAAAAAAAGTATTGACTTTTTACTGAGTTTATGTCGACATCGTGGTTTTTTCCCTGTTTAAGTTTACAGTATTTTTACACTCTGGTAGGAACTGGATAACTCTTGTTTAAAGCCAGCAGGAGGAGCTCTCACCTTGCTGGGTTCAATGCAATTAGTGAGCCTGAAAAACCTGAATTTGTGGTTTTTACATATGAAACAAATAGTAAAATTTTTTTACAATTTGGGGTTTTTACATATGAAACAAATAGTAAAATTTAAACATTTATCACGTTTCATGGTATTAAAAATCTCAAAACTCCTTAGTTTTATTTTAGTATCAGTTTATCATTCACTTGTCAGGAATGCAAATTTGGAATTTTACTGTTCTTATGAATTTTTAAAAGGTATGATTGCAGTTTAAAGAGGAAAACAAAGCAATAATATAAATCTTGTTTCTTAAAGCTAATCTGAAATTAAAAAATTCTAAGGATTTACACTTTTGTAGGTATACATATTTTCCTTTTTTGTTTTGAAATGAGTATACTTCACAGTTTACAAATGCTAATTATCGAGAACCAAGCAGCCTAACATTTTAGAAAGTATATTTATATCAACTAATCAATTAATTAATTTTCCAGTCTGTGAAAAATAAATCTCTATTGGTAGACTTCAATATTAAGGATTTTTGAACACTCTGCTCCAGTAAACCTCTTGACTTAAATGGCATGATTTGTAGGTAGTACTGGTGAATTTTCTGTAGAAACTATTCATGAAAAACTAGGATAAAAACTTACAAAGATTTGGGTGACTGGGTGGTTCAGTCGGTTAAGCATCTAACTCTTGATCTCGGCTCAGGTTATGATCTCACTGTTCCAGAGCCCAAGCTCTGTGTTGAGCTATATTGGGCTCTGCACTGAATATGGAGCCTGCTTGGGATTCTCTCTCTCTCCCTCTCTCTCTCTCTGCTCCTCCCTGCTCTCTCTTTCTCACTCTCTAAAAAGTAATCAATAAATTAAAAAAAAAAAAAACTTACAAAGTTTTTGGATCAGCAAAAGAAATAGTGATGTTTTTCTGCATCTACAGAAATAAAAGAGAGGGAGGCAGACAAAGAAACAGACTCTTAACTATAGGGAATAAATTGATGGTTACCAGGAGAACTGGGGATGGGGATGGGTTAAATAGGTGATGGGGATGAAGGTGTACTTGTAATGAGCACTGGAAGTGTTGAATCACTGTATTGTATACCTGAAACTAATATTATGCTATATGTTAACTAACTGAAATTTAAATAAAAACCGTAAAAAAAGGTAAGAAAAACACTTAAAATTGAAAGACTTTAAGTGTTTTACAAAGGACATTCTAACATCACTGTCCTTGGTTTGAATCCAAATCTGTCAGTTTGTGATATAAAGGAAAATTACTTAACCTTTTTGAGGCTCAGTATTCTCATTTGTAAATTGAGCATTTAGAAAAAGACACACCTTCTAGGATGATGTGGAGATTACTTGAGGAAGAAAATACATAGAAACTTCTTCCAACAGTGACTGTGAATTAGTATCATTATTTTTCTAGCCTTCAGGGAAATAATGATGTATTTAAAAAATATAAATGTTCTAGATGAGGGGTGCCTGGGTGGCTCAGTAGTTGAGCAGCCGACTTCGGCTCAGGTCATGATCTCACAGTCCGTGGGTTCGAGCCCCACGTCGGGCTCTGTGCTGATAGCTCAGAGCCTGGGGCCTGTTTTGGATTCTGTGTCTCCCTCTCTCTGACCCTCCCCTGTTCATGCTCTGTCTCTCCCTGTCTCAAAAATAAATAAAACGTTAAAAAAATTTTAAAAAAATGTTCTAGATGAGTAACATTAAACTTTTGTGTATCCCAAAGTACATACTGGTAGTAAATACTTCTGAATTCTTTATAATAGTGTATATCAAAAATGAAAGTAACTTTCATTTGATAATGAGATAAACTTACAGATTTGAATATTATTATAATGATATCTTTAGCTTCTTTCTCTAATAAATGAGATTATTTTTGTTATACTGAATGAACCCAAATGACATCAAATATCATTTTATGTATTTGTGTGTGTGTATGAGAATGTGTGTGTGTGTGTGTGTGTGTGTGTGTGTGTGACCATTAGCTAAGTCTATTAATTCATTAGGAGTTAGAAAACAGTATAGCCTAGTTCAGCCATTCCTTCTTCATTTATTAACTGAACTACTTCAGTAAGAGCAATGTTCCTTCTTTAACTGTTTTTTTATTCATAAGTAGTTTATATAGCAAAAGCAAAATAAGGGTGCCTGGGTGGCTCAATTGGTTGAGTGTCCAATTCTTGGTATCAGCTCAGGTCATGGTCCCAGGATCATGGGATCAAGCCCTGTGTGGGGCTGTGTGCTGAGCATGGAGCCTGCTTAAGATTCTCTCTCCTGCTCTTTCACTCTCCCCCACTCGCGTGTGTGTATGCACTCTCTCTCAAATAAAAAAATAAAGAAATAAAGAAAAAACAAAATAAAATGTTTTATCGTTTTCATATTAGTTACCAGTTTTTAAAATAATGGTTTCCTAGTATTCTATAAAAGTTGTCAGTAGGTATATTTTATCATTAAGAATGCATGGATTTGAGCATATTTGAAGTGTTTCAGTCCCTATAGTCATTAACCTTGTGTATGATCAGATTATCCATTTTTGGCCAGTAGAAGCCTATCCAGGTTGATTCCCAAGTCTTTTTGACACAACTCTAGTAAAACATTGATATCTTCCTTGATTTCTGTATAAGGATTACAAAACATCACTAATGAAGTAATTTCACACAAAAAATTAAATAAAAATAAATTGAACTTCAGTCTGATCAAGTTACTAAATATATCTACCAATTTAAAGAATATAAAGGGAATGGGGGGCATGTTCAATGATATCTTACAATTAGAAAAATCTAGAATATAGGACAAAATAACCTTTTTTTTCCAGTAAATTTGATTTCAAGTAATGAAAAAGATAACTGGCCAGGCATTAAGGAAATATATTAAAACAACGAGATACCATTATACACCTGTCGGAATGCCTTAAAAAAGACCTGGACAATACCAAGTCCTGCTAAGGATGTGAAGCAACTGGAAAACTGGTATTCTGCTAATGGGCATTTGAAACATCATAGCCATTTTGTAATACAGTTGGACAGTGTCTTCAAAATGAGGATTCTCCATAAACCCAGGAATCCCTATTTACCATGGAGAAATGAAAGCATAGGGTCATATAAAAACCTGTACATGAAAGTTTATAGTGGCTTTATTTATAATGTCCCCAACGGGAAATAGCTCACATTTCCATCAAGTAGGGAATTTCATACAATAGAATACTTTTCAACAATAAAAAGGAACTATTGATACATGCAGCAACGTAGATGAATCTCAAATGCATTATGCTACAAGAAAGAACCAGTCTTGAAAGACCCCATGCTATACTATTTCATTCATTTGACATTTGGAAAAGGCAAAATCATAGGGGCAGAAGTTAGATTAGTAGTTGCCAGGGACTGGGCTGTGGAAGGGATTAGCCATATTGGATAACAAAGGAAGTTTTGGGGGTGATGGAAATATTCCATAGCTTGACTGTAGCAGTGGTTACATGGATGTGGGTGTTTGTCACAATTCATAGAAATGTACATTTAGAAAGGGTAAATTTATTGTAAGTAAATCATACCTCAATAAATCTAACAAAAAAATTTAATGGGATAAAGTGTAGATTAAAAAACGAAAGTAGATTGTCAACTCAGTGTAATGAATAGGACTTATTTAGAGCTTGATTTTTCTATTCAAGTAAGTTCAGACAATAGGGATATTAAACAAATAGGGATATTTGATGGCATTAAGGAATTACTACTTATAGTAATGAATTAAGATACTGTAGCTATATAAAGAGGAGTCTTTATCTTAGAAATATAGACTTAAATTTTTATGGATGTTACTGGAATTTGCTTCAAAGAAATACTTCAGTGGGAGAGAGTAGATAAAAACATGTGGATGAAATAAGATTGGCTATAAATTGGTAATTATTGAATCTGGATGATGAGTACATGAGGGTTCATTTTACTGTTTTCGCTACATTCTAAAATATGTTTGAGAATTTTCCACAATAAAATTTAAATAATTGAAGCTTAGCTCTACAAACGTATATTTAATGAATTGATTTAAATAGTACTGAAAGAATATTCTGCAATGACTAATGTTACTCTGTCAAGGCTGTGTCCCTGGAATAGCTCCCACTATGGAAACAGTAGGCAGAGCTCATATTCTGAGAGTAGGGGAGGGGGGTGGGGGGATGAGGAGCCTACAGTTGCCTGAGTCCAGCTCGAGGGTCAACTGACAGTCACATCCTCTTGATTACCTCCTTCAACATTTGTCAGTTTTAAAAGTCAGCTGTTAAAAATAACTTAATTCTGTTATTCAGTTATCTGCCTTATTTAGCATTGTTAAACACAAATTACATATTTTGAAAATAAGTTAGAACTACTTTATGTTATTTTATTAATATTATATATTAGAATTTAGTGTATATAGTTAATTTTAAAGTAAGTAATGCAACTTATTAAAACTAATGCAATGAATAATAGAAAAGGTAGTTGACATTAATGATTTAAATAACATTTTTTCATCAATTTGAGATATTCATATAAGTTTTGTTTTAATTTAATTCCAGTTGTGTTGCTTGATACAACAACTGTGCTGGGAGAGCTAGGATGGAAAACATATCCATTAAATGGGGTAAGTTTTATTATGTTTTTAAAACTTTCATCCTTACTAGGTTTTAGAGTTTGTTATAATAGTTAAAGGAACAGTGAATTTTGGCTCTAGTTACCATGAATTTTAGCACATAACTAAAATCTCTTAGAAAAGATTAAAATACAATTAGAATTGGTAACCAATGAGAATGATGTATACAAATATTTGCTTTTCTTTAAATTATCATTATTCTTTAATACAGTGTTTATATAACATTAGACTGTCTCCCTATAGATATTTTTTTCATAGAAAAAAATTCTATGTATAAGAGTTTTTTGTATATAGGTTTATTAAATTTGGTAACCTCGGTGAGTATTTGTCCATAAACAAACTTTAGATTGTTATAAAAGAAGTGGATTTTACAGATATTAACAATTTATTTTTTATTAAAACGTATGAGTGTAATAAAGCAGTGTATGTTTTTGAACTTGACCAAAAGAAACATTATGATTAGGTTTTGTTACCTGAGAGAAGTTGCTTTTGAAAGGCATGTGTAATTTAAAGATGTGTAATTTACAAACTAATTTTTCAAGTACTGATATCACTTTAGCTGTGGTTATAATGGACTTTTTATGTGGTTTAATATATTTTGCACGTTTTCACATTGCAATGTGTTTCTACTTCTTTTTTAATTTTCACTCTTATGTGGATCCTGACAAACTTAACAGAAGACCATGGGGTAGGGGAAGGAAAAAAAAAGTTAGAGAGGGAGGGAGCCAAACCATAGGAGACTCTTAAAGACTGAGACTAACTGAGGGTTGATGGGGGGTGGGAGGAAGGGGAAAGTGAGTGATGGGCATTGAGGAGGGCACCCGTTGGGTTGAGCACTGGGTGTTGTATGGAAACCAATTTGACAGTAAATTCCATATTAAAAAAAATGTTTCAAGTAAAAATAAAAGGGTGGTTTGTGAAGCTTTTTATCTAGATTTTGCCTAATTAAGGAAAATTTATAGTAACAGAGGTAGTCAACAGTTATTCAGGTGTACTTGGGTTAGCTTTTCTTCCTTTTTTTATAAATTGTATTTTTCTCATTCATCAGATTCTTAGTTGATACTTTTACATTGTTTTTTTTTTCCATTACATCTGCAAATTTAAATTTGAAAGGAGAAGTTGACTGAAAAATGTTTTATTTTTAGAATCCTTCAAATATTGCTGTTTGAATTTGACTTTTTATATAAATACTCATTAAATGTGTATTTTCAAGTATTCATTTCTGTAAAGAGTTAACTTTTCTGTCTTTGTTCAGCAGGCTTTTTGTTTCCTTAGATTTGTTTGCTTTATAGACTGATTTTATTTTTTTGAAATTTTCCTTTTATTTTCATAGAGCTCTCATCAAACCATTCCTGAAAATATATCTTTGAAACTATATTTGTGATTCATCATCTTATTTTTAGTAAACATCAATATTTATTGATTGTATTAAACATGTTAAATTTATTAGTTACTTTCAAGGAATGAATGATTTTTTTTCTAAAATACTCCTCCAAGATATATACATATCTGTGTTCTCAGTGTACAAAGTAATTTATAAGAACGTATAAATCCTTAAAAAGTTTATAAGAATTATTTTTCCATTGTTGAAAAAAATGACAAAATTTTTAGTGATTATATTATCACTTACCTCATGGAGTCATAGCCAAAGAATCCTGTGAGGAACAGCAGTTACACCCCTGCTGTCGTGATTGTATTTGTCTTGATCAGGCTGTTTCAAAGCAAACTGGTAATGAGACACAGGGACTTAGTGAGTTACAAGTAAACTTACTGTAAAGAACTATTGTTCTTACAATGATCTTGTAATAGGTGTTACGAAAGTGAGATTTTTTTCTATATCTAGTTTATTAGTTTCAAAGAGAAAGGGCAGAATTGTCTGAAAAGTAATGCTTACTCCATAGTTTTCTATTTGCAGACACTGCACTAAGAATTTTACATTTTATTTCCATAGTAGCCTTATGAGGTATATCTGAGTTCTGGTTCCCAGTTGGAGAAACCTCTTATTAAAGAGAGTAAGGAACAAAAAATACCAACAAGTTATAGGCTAAATCGTGACTGATGGGATTTATTTCAAAATAAATTATTTCTACTAAAGCCTATATCTTTATCATGGCACTGGTAACAGAGAAGAGCATTGGAAACTTCATGAAAGGCTGATTAATTATGTTGATATTTGCATAATTGATTCAGATTTCTTTTCTCCCCTTGCCAAACATAGTACTTGACTGAGATGAACATTTGGACACCAGCCATGGATTTGCAGGAGGAAAGAGAGAAAGGAGAGGAAGGAGACAATAGTAGAAAATATGATGATAGAATAAGGTGGAAAAGGGAGAAATGGTTAACATTTATCAGGCATTTACCATATGCTAGTCTTTGTTCAAAGAAGTTTATTCACATGAGTCCTAGAAATCAATAATCATTTTACCCTATTGAAACATACGGAAATTGAGACTCAAGTACATTAAATAACCTTTTTACAAGGTCACAGAGCTAGGAATTAGTGCAGCGAAAATTCTAAGCCAAACAGATCCTAATTTTTAACAGATATATGTGCTTCTTATTTCCTTTAAGATTCTACCTTGTAAATATAAAGACCAGTGACCAATATGTATAAACTACAGAGGGAACGGTAACACAAGGATTCAGGCATTAACACATAAATTGAATACTCAATTGCCTTGGAATGTCACTGTTGGAATGATCTATATTACTTTTAGATTATCCCTCAAATAATAATGCATATATGGAAAGTGAAAGCAGTAGGAATAATTGAAAATGAGAGTATATGGACATAGTTTATAATAGGTGCATGAATTAGAGGAAACAGATTAATCAAGGGATACAATAAAATGGATAGATGACTTAAGTAAGTTTTAAAGAACATATATAGCTTCAATTTCTCTTTTAATGAAGGGTATATATTACTGACAAGAATGGAGTTTACTTAATGCTCTTGATAGGTAAAAACAAGTAAGGAAATAATCAAGAAGGATGAAGAACTTTGAAAAAGGCTACTAAAGATGGCAAGAGTGAAAATCATTTAGACATCAATAATAGTCAAATAATTAAAAACCTATAGAAACAGTTAATCAATTTATAACATTTAAACTATCATTTATATCTGTATGTTAAAATTATATCTATTTGAAATTGTATGACTTTTTTTCAGGTTGTCACATGTATTGAGCCATGCTAATATGAATGGTTATTTTAACTAAAATTGACTTTTTTCACTAAAATTGACTACTTAAGTTGATTTTACAAATATGCCACAGGTAGAAAAGACAGCTAGATGTTAAATTGGGTAATTTTATGATATCAAGTATAATTGGTATTTCTCTAAATGAAGTATTTTCTAGGAATAACATTTTAATTGATCTTTTTTTTTTTTTAAATGTTTATTTATATTTGAGAGAGAGAGAGAGAGACAAAGTGTGAGCGGGGAAAGGGGCAGAGAGAGCGAGACACAGAATCCAAAGCAGGCTCCGGGCTCTGAGCTGTCAGTATAGAGCCCAACATGGGCCTCGAACCCATGAATTGTGAGATGATGATCTGAGTTGGATGTTTAACCAACTGAGCCACCCAGGATCCCAGATAAAATTTTTTTTCTATAAAGACTTGAACTAAGAGATATTTTTGAAATTATATACTATTTATATAAAATAATGTGATTTAATAAGTTATTTAATAGATTTTTTTCCTTTTTACTTAGAATAGTCATCCCACCAGTAGTATCATGCTAATGTGGTTACACGAGTAGACATTTGCAATGTTGTAAATACAGCCATTACTGGTTATTTGAGTAGTAGGTAAGCACCTCTGGTTATAGAATGTGGAAGATAGATGAGTGAATAGTCTTGAGCAAATGACCTTTAGGCTTGCAAACATGAAAAAAAATGTATATATTTGCTGAAATGATTGCTTGTCAACTCACTTGTACCAACATTTAAAATATGTGGTGTCCAGGATTCAATTTAAATTTTTTAAAATGTTTATTTATTTTTGAGAGAGAGAGAGACAGAGCATGAGCAGGGGAGGGACAGAGAGAGATGGAGACACAGAATCCGCAGCAGACTCCTGGCTCTGAGCTGTCAGCACAGAGCCCAACTTGGGGCTCGAACCCCCAAGCTGTGAGATCATGACCTGAACTGAAGTCGGATACTTAACAAGCTGAGCCACCCAGGCGCCCCCAGAATTCAATTTAACAAACTTTTCATTTTATGCTCTTTGTGCCAAGTACCCTATTAGGGTGCTTAAAAGTATGCTTACATAACTTGCGGAGTCTTGGAGTATAGAGCTAATTCTGCACCTTTAGAAGGCCAAAGAGTGTCTTCAGGTAGTTTTGAGTAATGGTTTGTGAAAGAATAATAAAAGGAGGGATTAATTCTGGTCAGTAAAAATGGTAGTAGGATGTGACATCAGCTCTTTGTTATAAACTGTGAAGGAATCACATATGGGCTGGATAAGAGGGTGGAAAGCATCTGTTAGGCAAAAAGAATAACTTGAGGAAAGGCACAGAATTCTCAAATGTGTGTGCATTATGTTATAGGAATGTTGAGAATAATTTGTGTGGTTGGGTGAAGGGTTTTGAGAAAAGGAGACTATGATGATAGGCTAACCATATTGTGGGAAACTTAGAATTTCAGTTTCTTAACTGATTTAGGTAGTGTATGTCTCACCCCCAGTAAATAGAAGTAAAAGTAAAAATGTTCTGGATTCAGTTAAGCAAACAAACAAAATTTCATAATTTTAGATAATAACATAGACCCTTGGAAATGAAAGGTAGGCACCTTAGAAAATTGTTAGGAAAGGATGTTCAAAATGTAGACAATATGACATTATTGATATATTGAGAACAGAGTACAATTGAATAGTTACACTTGTATATATGCTGAAGCTTGGTTTTAGAAAAGAATGAATACATCAAAGATTTTGGTAACCAGTGGTTGTAATTTTAACACTATGCTCTCAGTGCCTAATGTCAAAAT